GTCGATTTTTGCACAATAATAAACGAAAACGCTATTAGGTTTTCGCGATGCAAAGCATATAATTCTGCCCGCCAAGCAAACGCTAATATAATTTTTATTGCACCCACTGATCTACCTCGACTCGGCCTTTTTCTCTGAGTTGACTCACGAGTTATATAGAGAGAGAGAGAAGGAAGGAGATAGAGCTGAGGTTTATTCGGCGATAACAATGGAGGAAGATTCTTTTCATGGCGATTCTCGTCTCAAGACATGTGTCGTCCTTGGCGGTCGAGGGTTAATTGGCCGATCCCTTGTCTCCAGATTGCTTCGACTCGGAACCTGGACTGTCCGAGTCGCTGATTCCGCTCAGACTCTCAATCTCGACGAGTCCGATTCGTTCCTTGAGGATGCTCTCTCCTCAGGACGCGCTTCTTATCACTGCGTCGATGTTCGTGATAAACCTCAGATCGTTAAAGGTTTTTTTTTCAATTCTTAAATTCTTATGCACTTATCGTTTGGATTCTGGATGATTGCATTACGTTTGGTGTTTTGGAGATGAGATTTTGGGTTCTGATTGAGTAATGCATTTGAGTTTGATGTTGTGATTGTGACATTATATGGATGTTTTGTTTCCTTGCAGTTACTGAAGGTTCCTGTGTTGTGTTTTACATGGGAGCTGCTGATTTACGTTCCCATGATTACTTTCATTGCTACATGGTTGTAGTTCAAGGTAAAGTTCTTACTCATTTCAATACCAATATAGTAGCTGAACTGGGTTGTTTAATCGATTTCTTTCGTATAATTCTTTGATTCTAACAGGTACGCGCAATGTGATTTCCGCTTGTCGTGAGTCTGGAGTCAGAAAACTTATCTACAACAGTACCGCCGATGTCGTTTTCGATGGTTCACAATCTATTCGTGATGGTGATGAATCCTTACAACGTCCTTTGAAGGTAATCCCTGAGGAATGATTGTTTAGTTGGTATTTTTTCCCTTGCTCTTCTTCGGGAATGATATCTGTTTTGCTCTGGTTTTGTTGCAGTTCCAATCAATGTTGACAGACTTTAAAGCTCAAGCGGAAGCGTTGATCAAATCTGCTAATAACCGTGATGGTCTCTTAACTTGTGCACTTCGCTCTAGCATTGTGTTTGGACCTGGTGACACAGAGTTTATACCTTTCCTTGTGAACCTAACCAAATCTGGATATGCAAAGGTCTAACTATTATCTCATGCCATTATTGCATTGATGTTTGTATTGTTGGATCATGAAAATCTGTTTGGTGTTTCTTTTCCTTCGCATCAGTAACCAAAGAATAATAAGCTAGACACTTTAACTGTTTGGTGTCCTGAAATTTGTTCTTGCCTCAGCTAACTCTATATACTAAGTTGGTCAAAAGGTCTGACATTTTGTCAACTAGATACATTACCAATTTAACATCTTATAATGCCTGGTAGTTTTCCCTTGGCATATACCTTGAGCTTCTTCTTTTTTTTGTTTGGAGGAATGACTGACTCCTTTTTTATATTTCAGTTTAGAGTCGGGAATGGTGAAAATCTGTCTGATTTCACTTACTCTGACAACGTTGCTCATGCACATATTTGTGCCGTAGAAGCATTAGATTCACATATGGAATCTGTGGCTGGAAAGGTAACCATGATGCACGTGTATATGCCAAATCACTCCTGAAAGCGCAGAACCTTATATTAAATCTATCTGTGCTGATTAATTGTAGGAGTTTTTTATCACTAACCTCAAGCCTGTCAAATTTTGGGACTTTGTAAGCCACATAGTCGAAGGTTTGGGATACCCAAGGTAATGAGCATCTAAACAGTTGTTGATAAAAGAAGATTTGCTTAAATTCCTTATTCTCTTTCATAGGGTATTTGATCATTTTGAAAAGTTTCAGATCCTTAAAGCCAAGTTTCTGGTTTACCTGATTTGATACTTTTCTTGCAGACCATCCACTAAACTTCCTGTTCGGCCGGTTTTGTTTGTTTTGTCCCTTCTTAAATGGACACAAGAAAAGGAGGGCATTGGAAGTTATTATGACACAGCTACTCAGTTTGCCCTGTTAGCTTCTTCAGCGAGAACTTTTAAATGCAATGCAGCGAAGAAGCATCTTGGTTACACACCTGTTGTGACGCTTGAAGTGAGTTTAATTTGGATTATATCTTGTTCATCATATTCAGCTGCTTGATAGCACCCTTGGATGCATTTGTTCTTGTTGGATATGTAGGATGGTATTGCATCAACGCTTCAGTGGTTCTCTCGCGAGCTTGAGAAATCTGACGAGACGACCATTGAAACTAAAGCAGATCAGCTTCTTGGCTGTGGAAAAGGTTAGAAATATCTCCCTATTAATAATTATAATTTTGTATTGAAGTGTTCTTGGGTAGGTATTCAGCTATATTGGTTTTAAGTCCGTTTCTTATTTAGCTATGGGTATGAAGCATGCTAATAAGACTTAAGCTGGAAAGAATCTATCTCTATTCTTAACTTAGATTCCTTGCTTCTAGACGTCTAGAACATGCTTAAGTATCTGCCCAGTCCATCTAGACCGTGTGATTTTATGCGAGTTTCCAACTATATTTCATGCACATATAAACAAACTCGATGTGAATCTGGTCTATGCAAGTGTTTAGTCTCTTTAAATTGACCAAACTTGTTATGTTATGCTCATGCAGTTGCAGACATCTTGCTGTGGAGAAATGAGAAGAAAACATTTGTATCTTTTCTTTTCCTCAACTTGTTATACTACTGGTTCTTCTTTTCTGGAAACACGTTCGCTTCCTCTGCAGCCCAACTTCTGTTTATGTTTGCTGTTGCTCTCTATGGACTCGCTTTTGTGCCGTCAAACATGTAAGTATTGGTTCTACAAAAGTGGGTTTCTCTTTACTACTATAGAAAACAGTGAACTTGTTTTGTGATACTAAAATTGTCCTTGCAAACTTTGATCCATCCATGTATGTATATATGTTTGTCTTTTGAAATCTATGCAACTAAGTGACAGATTCTGATTTCTTTGACAGCTTTGGGTTTCAAGTCAAGAAAATACCACCGTGGAGATTTGAGATCTCAGAATCCACAGTGAGAGATCTTAGCAGAGATATCGTAGTTGCATGGAACCACGGAGTTCGCGTTTTTAATTCTTTAAGCAGAGGAGGAGACTGGATCAAGTTCTTCAAGGTACAATTCTACTCTCTGCACACTACTCTATTATTGCTCATGAAAAAAAAACCTCATATATCTTGTTTCCTTGAACCGAAAAACAGATTGCGGGATCAATATATCTCCTCAAACTGATCATATCCCGTTCCTTGGCAACATTTCTTTTCACAGGTAACTCATATAAAGCTGTTGTTTCTATAATTGATAACATGATTTGAGTACTTCTTTATCCATTAATCTTCCCTTCCAAAACCGTTCTTGTCATAACATTGTCTTTACACTTTACTGAACAGCGATGTCGTTCTCGTTCACTGCTTTCTTCATCTATGAGCAATACGAGCTTGAGCTCTATCACCTAGCCCGGATCTTCACAGAATGCGCATCAGTTCTCAAAGGGATGGTGCTTAAGAATCTGCCTAATTCTGATGCTTCATCTAAACCAATGTTCATGTGAAGCTTCGAAGTCTATAAAACGACCACAACAACAGTCTCAGAGACTAACCGAAGTTATTATTAGATGTCTATGTACTGACTAAGATGCTATTAAAAATTCTTGTTTTCAAAATCTTGATAGTGAAAAACTCTGAAAGAGTGAGAGGGATATTAAAGTACGATTATTTACGATATTTTGCCATGACTACTATTAAACGCACCGTTTTGGTCGTAACCTCTCGCATTCCGAAACAAAAAAAAAACGAAAGAAAATAATATTAATTACAAAATTAAAAGGAAAATTATCTTTATATATTCTTTTTAAGAGCCGCCACTTCGATTAGATTTGCTCTCCTCTATCTTCTTCTTCGTCTTCTATCTCTCTTTCTAGGGTTCTCTTTTCTTCTCCGTAGGTAAGATTTCGAGAACGCATCTTCATCAGAAATCGTATTATCTTGCTTTATCGCACAATATCCATCTCTCGTTTCAGTCTCGTACACATCAAAAATCTCGTTTCAATCAAAATCGGCGGATTCAAGGATTTCACCACCGATTGATCAATTCCGTAATTCCGACGATGGCGTCATTGATGAAGCCATTCAGAGCAGAAGATTCTGGTTTCAAATCGAACAATCTCTGGGTCGGTAGTCTTACGGTGGATACGACGGAGTCAGATCTGACCGAACTGTTCGGAAGATACGGCGATGTTGATAGAATCACGGCTTATTCGACACGTAGCTTTGCGTTTATCTACTACAGACGCGTTGAGGAAGCGGTCGCGGCGAAGGAAGCGCTTCAAGGAGCGAATTTGAATGGAAGTCAGATTAAGATCGAATACGCTCGACCGGTTTGTTCTTATCTCTTTGTTTCGTTAGGTTTATTATTATATCTTCTTCCTTTGTTCCTTAACTTTGATTGTCTTTTTGTCAACGATTACACTGTTTTTGCGGATTCATACTCATAGTTCACATATTCTTGATGCTTGTTTAGTCAAATTGGAATCTGAGTTTTCCTCATCGTACAAATCAAAATCAAAACCTAGATTTATCTTTTTCCGTCATGGCTGGTTTGCAACCTGATCCGAAATCGCCATTTTCTCGACTTGCTTTCGTTTTTATCTCAACGATCTAATCGAAACTCGAGCAAATCGAATCACAGAGAGCTTAATCCTCGAGTGTTCTGCAAAATTTGATGTCAAAGCATATTACTTTTAGTGAATGAGCTCAAGTTTTCTCGTTTTGCAGCAAAGGTCGATTCGATCGTTGTTGCATCCGTCTGCAATGTCATTGGCGTATCTTCTACTTGTATTCGCGTAAAGTAGTTTGATTTCAGGTTTCGCTCTCCAGATGAGTTCACAATAAGGTTAATCTCACAAGCTTGAGTACATATGAATTGCAAACACCCGAAATTTGCAAGGTTAAAATTTGGAAGCTAGCATATCAATCATCGGCCAAACAAAATCGGAAATCGGAAGTGTAAAAGTTGAGTTTCCTGCAAAAACAAACCGCCTGGTGGAGAAATTTGTCTATGAGGGTGAAGATATTCGAAGATGTCAATAATTGCACTTGGAGAATAGTTTATACTGAAAAATCTGGTAACATATCGTCCAGGCACAAATTCATATCAGTGTAGAGGAGTTTTGGGCTCTGATTTTGATCGATTCTGTAGTTTAGAGGTTACTCTCTTTCCTCAAAACAATCAGAAACGTGGTAGATGATGGAGCCAAACAGTGAAAGTGAGTCTCAAACGACCCATTTGAAGAAACCTGCTTGTCCCTGTGTCTTTTTAGCTCAGTTCCTATCGGAGTTGAATTCTTCACAAAAATTCTGGGTTTGGTATATTTGGTCCGAGCCAATCTGCAGTGATCAAGACGATTCTTTTGTGGCAGTGCTTTTGCGGCTTTGTGCTCTTAACTGCGTGTCCCCAGGATTGGTTCATTGGTCCTCAGACGAACCTTCAATGATACCAAAGAGAGGAATGCTTTGCAGAAAATGTGAATGTCTTGACGGTTTCAGGGATGACATGCAGACAAAATGTGTGTTTAGTGAAGAGAAATATTAACACCAATTGATAGAGGAAGAGAATATGGTTCCCTTGCAGCAATTGTGTTTAGGATAAAAGTTGATATGAATTGTTGTCATAACGTAGTTGGAATTATTAGTTTTGCGTGTGTTTAATTTCCAAGATGTTTGATACTTGATATGTTAGATGTGACAAACTATCTGGGTTTCATCGTATCGCTTTCTTACGAACCTTTTGTTGTTGCAGGCAAAACCTTGTAAGAGTCTTTGGGTGGGTGGAATCAACCCGAGTGTCTCAAAGGATGACCTGGAGGCAGAGTTCAGCAAGTTTGGGAAAATCGAAGATTTTAGGTTTCTTAGAGAACGCAAGACAGCTTTCATTGATTATTATGAGATGGATGATGCTTTACAGGCAAAGAGCATGAATGGAAAGCGAATGGGTGGTAGCTATTTGCGCGTTGATTTTCTTCGGTCACAAGCTCCGAGAAAAGTAAGCATTCTTGTGACATTCATTTTTTTACTTATGAAAACACTCTAGTAACCATTTTGTTAAGTTTCACGACTTGCATCAGGCTTTCAGGGTTGTGCTCTGTATTGTGCACTTAGGAGTAGTGTTTTACTCGAATCAATTGATATTTCATATCTGGTCTCTTCCATAGTAGAGTCTTCTCAAACTTTCTATTCTGAAATGAAGTTACATTTTCTTTATCGTTAGGAACAATGGGCTGGCTCTTACGATAGCAGGAATGCCAATGCGAATAATAAACCACAGGTTTGTCTAAATGTTGAAAATATGTTGTTTCTTGTTGGTGGTGATATGTATATGTTAATTGGGTATGACGTATTGTTTTATGCTTACAGTATCCTCACGCATATGAAGATGGTAAAGGAGATGGCCAGCCAAGTAAGGTTCTGATAATTGGGTACCCTCCTTCTATTCAGATGGATGAGCAAATGCTACACAATGCAATGATACTCTATGGTGAAATCGAGAGGATAAAGGGTTACCCATCAAGGCATTTTGCACTTGTGGAGTTTAGGAGCGTAGAGGAAGCTCGCCGTGTCAAGGAAGGGCTACATGGGAGGTTATTCCAGGATCCAAGAATCACAATTATGTACTCAAACGATGAGCTGCCTCCTAAGCAAGACGATACTAGATTTTATTCTGGTGTGAAACGGTCAGGGCCAGATATGCTCAACAATGATCCTTCTATGAGGCCCTTCAGAGGTAGCAATGAGCGTTCATATAATGGTTCAGAATACAACGATGTTGTGAGTAAGGAGCCAAACTGGAGGCCGTCTCCAGGTGGAACTGGAATACTCCCATCTCCAACTGGACCTGGAATCCTCCCATCTCCTGCACAAGGTATGAGGCACCCCACAAGGTCAAACCCCGGTTCTTGGGAAGGATATGATCCTGCTCAGTTGGACAGGGAAAGCAAACGAACCAGAAGAGATGGATCGGTGGACGGTTTTACTCCAATGGGTGTAGATGAGAGATCATTTGGGCGTGGTTCAGTTGCTGCTCGGCCTAACCGTGGTTACCCTGATTCTGATTGCATATGGAGAGGAATGATTGCCAAGGGTGGAACTCCCGTCTGTTCTGCTCGTTGTCTACCTATTGGAAAGGGGATTGAAACTAAACTGTGAGTACCATTTACACACATTTTAACTCTTCTAATGTTTTCATATTTTAGAGAGAACCATATTTTTCCTTTTCATTCTCGATGGAAGTTAGAGGTCATTATTTTAAATAAGACGTTGTAGGTTACTGATGCATATAACTGATGACATTGCCCGCAATTGCTGAATTTGGTCTTTTTTCTTTGTAATTAATTTATAGGCCTGAAGTCGTCAATTGTTCAGCAAGAACTGGTTTGGATATGCTCGCCAAACATTACACCGAAGCCATTGGATTTGAGACTGTTTTCTTCTTACCAGACAGTGAAGAAGATTTTGCTTCCTACACTGAATTTCTCCGATACCTTGGCTCAAAAAATCGAGCGGGTGTTGCCAAATTAGATGATGGAACAACTTTATTCTTGGTGCCTCCATCAGATTTCTTAACTGATGTACTTAAAGTGTCCGGTCCAGAACGGCTATATGGTGTCGTTCTCAAGTTGCCCCCGCCACCTGTTCCTGTTACAGCATCATACAGACAAGAATCGCAGCCCAATCCTCTTCCTTATATGGATCAGACCCGGGATTCACCTCACAGTTTTTATCCTCCTAGGGAAAATTACAATAGGGGTGCACCAGAACAGTTGGCAGCTCCTTCAAAACAATCGGTTAGCGAGCCTCTCAGAATACCTAACAATGCAGCAGCTCAAGCTGGGGTTAGTTTAACTCCGGAGCTTTTAGCCACTCTGGCATCTATTCTCCCTACAACTTCTCAACCTACTGCCCCTGAGAGTCACCAACCTATGTCAGGCACTTCAACAGTTGTCTCCACAGTAACTCAATCGAATGGGGTGTACAATGGAGAAGCACCGTCTCAAGCTTGGAGAAGAGATCCGCAAACAGTCCATGATTCCTCAAATCAGTCGTTCCAACAATATGGAAATCAGTACACTCCAGCCGGACAACTACCTCCTCCTCCTCCGCGTTACCCTCCAGCTTCAAACAACCCCAACTACTCTAGCGGAATGGTCCATGGCGACATGCAATACCAAGGCCAATCTGTTAACATGCCTCAGCTGTCTCCGTTACCAAATATGCCTCAGAATAGTTATGCCGCGTACTCTCAGGGTTCTTCACATCATCCTGTTTCTCAGCCCATGACACAGCAATACCAACCAGAAGCTTTCGTGCCAAACCAAAATTATGGTCCAACCCCAGGTTATCAGCAAGCTAATTATCATGGTGTAACAACGAATCAGGCGCATAATTTAAATCCTTCCCAGTTTCAAGCTGCCATGCCACAACCAGCTGACAAGGCACATTTCGAGCCGCCAAGCCAAACACCGCAGCTCCAGCCTGCTCTCACTGGTCAGGGTACAACAGATGGGGAAGTCGATAAGGACCAGAGGTACCAGTCGACACTACAGTTTGCGGCTAATCTTCTTCTCCAGATACAGCAGAAACAGCAGCAGCAACAAGGTACTCCGGCTGGACAGGGGCCTTGAAACTAGCTCCACTCATCATCATAATCTTTAAGGTAACCATCTCTATCTTCTACATGCTGATTGATTATTGAGTGAGCATCATCTTTTTAAGGAAATACTTGTTTGATCCTTGCTTGTTTGCATATGCGTGTGCTGTCTGACCTTTTTTCTTGTAATCTACTTGCATTTCTGCTGTGTTGTGTTATCCGAGTAAAAACGGAAATCGTTTGTCATCGTTTTCTATAGAGACTACTTGCATGAAACTTTGTCAAAAATGTAGGACTGGTTTGTTGAATATATACATCTTTTCTGTGTATTGCATGCATGTTTCATTGTTGACAGGCTTTGTTTATTCTTGCATTGATTCGTCCGTGCATCTAATCTAGTAGTGTTCTCTGAGCAAATGTAAATTTTTGCTTTATCTTTAACCCTCTTTGTTTTTATCGGAGCTTTCATGGAGTTTGTACTTAATATGAACGGTTGCTTAGTAGCATACCTTTCAGTTTGTAAATTATGGCTTCGTAAATGTGATAAGAATATACTTTGTGATTAGGATTTGTAATTTGCTTGTATAGAATTAGAACATAACAAAGGTTTTGCTTCAGCTTGCAAAACTCTCTTTTAATGTCAAAAGATAAAAGAGGCAGAGAATCTTGATATATTAATGGTTCCGAGATAACAAGTCAGTTTTCTGTAGTTGCGTCCTCACTGTGACTGCGATCATTGTGAAGAACATACAAAAGATGATTTGATCGCAAACTTGAAAATGATGTCCGAGGAAAAACTCAGAATAATCATTTGATGATGCTTATACACACTCTATTATTACAAAGCTCGTAAACACTAAAGAAGAAATAACAATTGCAATGAAAGAAGCTAGGGAAGCCCTGTCGCTAACTCGTACTTGTTGTGAAACTGTGTAGG